ATATATATATGAACTCTCCTTAGTAGGCAAGTGCTCAAGCCCCAACTCTGCTTGCTAGAATCCAAGTTTCACAAGGTCAGGTGCCTTTATTTTGTTCATTGTTATAACCCAAGTACTTAAAACAGCACCTAGCACATATTTGGCACCTCTTACTATAAGTTGGTGAATGTACACAGGCATTTAAATGACTGAAAAGAGATTAAAAGCCAGGAGGGGGCATGGTGGCGCATGCCTGTAGGGAGGCTGGAGCAGAAGAATTGCCATGAGTTCAAGACTGGCCTGGGCTACATAGTGAGTTCAAGGCCAGCCTGAAAAAAAAACCCAAAAAGGCATTTGAGGGGGACAAAAAGGGCGGTGGTGTATTAGATAAATACTGTACAGTTTCAGTTTTTCCTTAAGCTCTTCAACTAGTGTTATTGGAAGTACTGTGGGGTTTTGGCCTGTAGAAGAACAAGATAAAGATTCTCTCAGGCCAGGGATTTAGCTCAGTGGTGTCTCCGCCTGCTTCGCAAGTGCAAAGACCCAAGTTCAATCCCCAGTACAAAAAAAAAAAAAAAAAAGATTCTCTCACCAGCAAATTTCACCTCTCAAGTAGCTCTGTGGAAATCGTTGTAATTTTAAATACCACAGTCAGAATAGACCTCACAAGATAACATGACATTTAAACAAGAATGAAGAGGAAAAGGAATAATCCCAAGATGTCCCGGGCAGTCAAGCTGTTTCTATGGCACCAGTAAACTGCTGTTTGGGTTTATGTATTTTTCTCTTTGAGAAAAACTTAGTCTATGAAATGCTCTTTCCTGAGCAAATCCATTGGTGTGAAAACAGCAAATCTCAGAACTAGAAACAGTTTTTAGAACTTTTGTGTGTGTGTGTGTGTGTGTGTGTGTGTGTGTGTGTGTGTGTGTGTGTGGTACTAGGACCTTGCACTTGTGAAGCAGGCAGTAGAACCACTGAGCTAAATCCCTAACCCTAGAAAAGGTTTTTAAAACAGCACTTAGGTGCTGGGACTAGCGTGCATGAAGCTCTGAGTTCAGTCCACAGCACCACAAAAATAAGTTTTCTCAGATAAATACAAAGCCCAATTCCACCTTTGATTATTGTGTTTTCTTTAAAATATGGGAGGGAATCTTCTCTTGGACTTTTTTTTCTTTTTTAGACAAGATCTCATTGTGTAGCTCAGGTTGGCCTTGAATTCACTATGTACTCCAGGCAAGTATCAAACTCTCAGGTGATCCTCCTGCCTCAGCCTCCCAAGTGCTGGGATTACAGGCGTGTGCCACCATACAGCTACATCTTTTTTCAGCTATTACCTCCAGCCAGGCCAGGCTGCTCACAGTGCTATCTTTGATCATTGCCTCTACACTGTGACGTAATTGTAACATTATGCTGTGCCCATTTCTCACAGAAGCACAAAGGGGATTTGCACGGGATTAAGGGATTTGCCTGGGAAGTGGCTGAGCCACAGGCCTGAATTCCTTCCATGCCACCCCATGGACATGCTCACGTTCCACCTTTCTGATCCACCCCTTTTCCTTCCAGACCAACATTCTCAAAACTGGAGGACTCCTTTGAGGCTCTCTCTTTGTACCTGGGAGAGCTCGGCATCCCACTGCCTGCAGAGCTAGAAGAGCTGGACCACACTGTGAGCGTGCAGTACGGCCTGACCCGGGACTCACCCCCCTAACCCTGGCCCAGCCCCCTGCACGGGGACGTTCTACAGCCAGCATTGCCCCCTCTGCGCCCCATCCCAGGGCCATCTAGGTTTCCTGTGGATCGGTGGCTTGTTTAGAGGCAGAACAAGCCATCTCTACTACCTCCTCAGGAGGCGAGCGGGCGCAGCACCAGGGAAACATATCTCCACAGGTTTTGGGGCCTGGTTGCTGTCTGAAAATCCAACACTCGCCTGAAAGCTGTGAAGAAGATTTAAAAAAAAAAAAAAAAAAAAAAAAAGCCTGGACACTGGGCTAGGAAGAATCTGTTACTTGGGACCACTTGGGAACTCCCTGGTTGTGGACTTGGAGGCTCTTACTTAACACTAAATATGACCTAGACCTGCTGAGCAGGATTCCAGGGTGAACCTCCCCATGGGCTCTGAAGTCTCCGGTCCAGTTGTGTGCGAGAGGACTTCACGTGGGTGGGTGTATGAGAGAGAGACCGGTGGCCAGGTGGCAGGTGGCACTTGAAGGGTACAAAATGACAGTGGTGTTCCCCTCTTCCATTCCAGGTCCTGCCCTCCCTGGAGCAGAGTGAGGGGGTAGACTTTGAAGAGCCCTTTAGTCAGTGTATGGTGGAACTGGCCAGGAGTCAGGGGAAGGGCTGGTTTCTGTTCACGTGCCCTTGGGTGGCTTTAGCGAGTCCAGGGACATCGAAGTGAAGGGGAGCTTCCATCTCATGTTCTCCAACTGTACTACTGGAGACTGGATGGGAACTTCTGAGTGGCATCCTCTTCGTCTCAACAAGCAGTCAAAGCACAGTAAGGGGCTGGAGGCGGGGGAACAGGCCGTATTCTCCCGATGCTGTCATCTATACCCTGGTGGTCTCCTCAGTCAAAAGCCTGACATTTGCCTAGAGTTAGATGGGATCTGGAGGATGGTGTGGCTTGTCACAGGTCCATCAGAGGAAGAAGAGTTTTCACAATCCATTGACCTCATCCTTTTGGCAGCCACTGCTCAGCCTCAGCCTGGCCGGTCTGGACAGCAGTTTAGATTGGGAAGAGGTGGTTGCTGAGTCCGAGAGTTGAAATACAAAGGGAGACAGCCACCTGTCATCTGAGAGAGCTGGGCCATCTGGCTTCTGTCCTCTACCTTCCCTTGTTGGCTGGCCCAGCTCATAACTCTCTGAGCTATACTTCAGGGCCATGGGCATCAGAAAGCCCTGGGAGCACACTCTGCCTTGGCTGCCAGACTTCCAGGCACTGTACAACATGAGATTTGCCTCCTCTTAAGTGTGAGCTTGCAACATATTTAACAAAATCGGAAATGGGTTGTGGGTATATAAATGCAATGTGTGGTGGTTGTATCGGGGGGTGATCCAGGAGAATGGTTGCTGTTAATATCTTGTTGTTATATCTGTTGGGTGATATGTGAACTATTGTACATAGACGAGTTGTGGGATGGGATGTCATCTCTGGCCAGAATTTGCTTGCTATGTAGTCTATACTTCTGTGTGGAGTTGCAAGCTTGCTGTAGGGTTGAATTGTGGACTCTTAGTAACAGTATGGTTCGGCATCATGGGGCTGGTTGTGCTTCCACTGTCCCCAGCAAGTGAGCGGGGCCATTGAGCAGACTAAATAAATTAAGCAGTTAACATAACTGGCGATACTGAGTGAAAAAGTGACTTGGGGTCTAATAAAAGTGACTTGAGGATATAAATGTGGAAGTTCTACAGGCTACTGCCTCACATATCCACCTAACTTCCTGTCCTTGTGCAGTCTTGAGCCCGATGCACATCCCATCCGAGAGGCCCTTTCTGTGGACCAGTTCTGTGACCTCCTCTGGGCTCCTGAAGTTATTGTGCCTGGATCCCACCTGTGGGCAGATCCTCAGGAGGCCTCCATTCACATCTTTAACCTAGGAACACTTCCAGCAGGTATCCTGGCATCCTCTCCACAGGGCTGCATGCCACCTTCGTAATGGTGAAAAATGTGTAGGAAGTGCTTGAGAAGACAATTCCTGTTTCTTGTTTCTGCACACAGAGGGTACTCTGGAGGACTGACCTTGGGCAAGATGATGCTATCATCTTGGAGTTCCTGGGCACAATATAAATCCATAAACCCAAAGGTAAATTTTTCCAAGCACTAAAAAGCTTGAAGAATGTAACTTAAGGGTAGAATCTGGTTCCTGAGAAAACACGGTCTGAACTATAGAGAACTATAGAGCAGTATCTGGACATGGGCAGAGGTCACTCTGGTATACCTTCAGCTTGTTGGCTAAGTCGTGCTAAAAGTTTTAAGAAATGTTCCCATTGGTAGCTTTCCTTCTAGAGCCCTAAGAGTCATCCACGGGGACCTTCCTCAGCCAAAGGCTGCTCCAAGCTGCCCAGTGACCCCTTCCCTTCTATATATCTGTCCCTCCTTTGGCTGCTACAGCATCACCACCACCATCCCTCGCCCTGACAAGGGCTATCTGAATATTCATTTGAACTCTTTACCTCGGAAAGCCTGCTGAAGGAGAAAGGACTCGGTGTGACCAACCGCCTTCTTGGGCTACCCTTCCTTCCTGAAGCTTCAACCTGAAAGATTTCTGGTGATAACAGTCGGGAAGCAGAGGTTGCAGTTTCCAACCATTCTGCGGTTGCCTTCCATTTACAGAGCCAGGGTGAGCAAAGAGGAAGCTAGAGCTCACTGCACAGGTATTGACAAAGAATCCAGAGCTTCCCAGGGTATGGGTGGCGTGTTCTTGGTACCCCACAAAAACTTGGTAACATGGAGATGTGTTTTGTTTTGTTTTTATATAAGTCAAATGCACAGCAGTTTCCCATACTTTATACACAGATGTGAGAATGAGGTATATAAAACATGTATACAGAGAAATGCTTATAGAAAAGTAGAAACAAGTAATGTTCTCTTCTCCAGAGTCACTAACACCAAGGGACCCTCTGAGACCTAGGTCCCCAGAGCAAATGGCTCTAGGGAGCACCCTCCTGAACAGAATGGGCTCCACTTTATGCCCTCTCCACACTGGGCAGTGGAAGGACTCTTAACAAGGAATCTCTTCAGGGAACATTGCCAAGGCCTTCAAATGTGACATCAGGGTCTGGAGGGCCTGCTGAGATTCAAGTGCAGTGGAGAAAGAACTGCTCAGTCAGGAAGCTGAGGGCTCTTCTCCTGGCTTGTTCTATCACCTTGGGAAGTCATTTTACCTCTCTGGGCTCCTGTGTCCAAAAGGTTTGAACCTGAAGGTCCTTTCCAATGGTTCTATGATTGTTTTACAAGTTAGGGGTTATAACATCAGCCCCATTGCCTCATTGGAAGGTGGTGGCCTGGAAACCACAGGGTCACTTTCAATTAGGGTACGCTACAGGGGAAAGTTCTGAAGTGCTTTGTTAGCTTGCCTCTGAGCTCATTATGCAAGTTAACCTAGCATGAGCTCAATGCGCCCCACAGTGTATAAACCCCATGGGTTAACTGGTTCCTCTTACCTGTGCAAAATGGTGAGAGGTCACCACCCACCCCAGAAGAGATGGTCTGTGGCACCCCGGGTCCACCTCTGTCCCTGAGGCCTAAGGCAGGAGTTGATCCTTCTCTACCCTCTTCCTAAATGGAATGTTTAGTGCAATTATTCCCTTCCTTTACCTACAGAACAGGAAGAGTCTCTGGGCCCAGGTCCAGCCCACAGTTGTCAAGGCACATTACTGCCAGCAAGCTGGAGCACACCCAGCAGCCCCAAGCCTAGATCCCAATCTCAGCCCCAAATTCGGACTTATACAGTAGGAAGTTCCAGCCTTAACATTTAAAAACTAAATATACATTTTTTTCAATGCTACCTTTTGACCTGCTTGACCTTAACTATGAATAACAGTATATGCCACTCAAGCTCATGAAGAACGAACAGAAAGGCATAGGCTGAGGCCACCTTAGTAAAGCACAGAGGAGCCTGAAGGAGCTCCCTGTCTATCCCTAGTCCAGTTCCAGGGACACAAGCAGTATCTGGAAGCCCTTGTCAGCAATACCCCCTGGGAGCTGTGCCACTATCTCCACCCACAGGCAGACTCCTGCTCCAAGGGATGGAGAAGGAACATTAGGAGCGCTGGTAGGATCCTACTGAGCCCTCGGCCCACAGTGCTGCCTACTTCTTTCATGAGGATTTATCCGAGGTGGGGGTGTGGGGTGGGTGTTAACCACAACACAAAATGTAGGTCCTCCCAGCTGTGGGAGGGTGGACTGTCCTGCACCAGTTTTCGCATGGCCTTCTGCCCACTGGAGGAGCTCAGGCCCCAGGGGTGCCAGCCTGGCCCATGAGGGGTGTGCTGCCCTCCTGAAGGTCCACAGGAGTCTGGTTGCTGTGGACCACGACAGTCCTCTCATCCACGATCTCACAGGTAGGGTTGGTAAAGGCAGACAAGGGCAGAGTGATTCGCTGCATCTCCCTCTCACACACTTTCTGCTCATGCTTCTCTTTCAAGTCCTTCCCCCTAGGAGGAAAAGAGGGAAGCGTTCAGTCTGTGCCTTCTGAATGACTGCTCGGATAGCGCTCCTGAAATTGGGGGCAGGGGGACAATCGGGGATGACTCACCCTGGTCACAGCGAGGCACTGTGTGAGCCAGGACTAACACAGGTCCAAGGAGCTAGACTTCTGTTCTGTCAGAATGCCTTAAACTTACAGGAGTGCTCCCCTCAGCTCTGTAGAGTGGGAGTTGACAGCAGTCAGGAGCCTCCCACGGCATAGTAGGGCTCAACAGAGAGAATGTAGAGGAAAGAGACAGTTTTGTCTTTTAGCCCAGGGATCCAAGAGACTCAGAACTAGCTATTCAGCTTCAGCCCTAAACTACCTAAAACTGACTTGACCTTTGTGCTGTACAGCTGTGTGTGTGTGTGTTACTATGGGATGAAATCCAGGGCCTCTGCACCCTTTTTGAGACAGTGTCTCACTAATTTGCTAAACTGCTCAGGCTGAGCTTGAATTTACAATCCTCCTGCCTCAGCCTCCCCGAGGCATGCACTACCACGCCCAGCTTCCCAAGCTTTTTAAATTTTTGTTTATTTTTATTTACTTGGTTTGAAGACAAGGTCTTGTTACACAGTTCAGATTGGCCTTGAATTCGGTATGTAGGCCAGGCTGGCCTCAAACTCCCAGCAATCCTGCCTCAGCCTCCTGAATTCTAGGATTACAGGCCTGCACTGCCACACCCAGCTTTAATTTTTATTTTGAGACAGGGTCTTGCTAAATTGCCCAGGCAGGGCTCAAACTTGTGATTCTTCTGCCTAAGCTTCCCAGGGTGCTGGGATTAAACATGTGGGCTACCACACCTGGAAGGACAGCCTTCTGATCCTAAAACCCTAATATGTGTGAGCCCAAACTATATGAATCATCCCCAACAAATGCAGAGGGCAAAATTGACTGAGAGCTTCTCTGGTCAAAGGGGACAAAGAATGAGCAGACCTCAGAGCTGTCATGTGCCTCTGAATTTTCACGGTGTTCAGAGACCCAATCAGATCGTGGTGTTACTCTGTTTTACTCATGTGGAGTGCTCACTGTGTGCTAAGGACTTAATATATATTATCTCCCTTTATTCTAAGCTCAACCCTAAGAAATAAGTTACTCACTTTTTAGACAAGGAAATGGCCCAGAGAAGTTAAAAAATACTCCCAAGAATATGGTGGGTTCAAACCTAAGTCTGTGAGCCCTGGCTACTGCTCCAAAGTCCTGATCATGGTCATCTTCTGAAAAATATGTGAGGTAGGACTCAAGCCCAGTGTTTCTGACCACACATGAGGGGCCCTTGCTGTTAGACTTGGCCATTCCCAGTGAATGCCCACTGTTGCACACCGAAACTATCATCCAAGGACCTAGGTCAACATCCACTGAAGCCAGCAACTTGCACTCAGTTGTCAGAGGGAGTCCTTGAAACAAGCAGCTAATGTATGTACAACACAGAGGCCTGCCTCAGACCTCATCAGGGCCATAGCCGTAGGGACAATGACAGAAGCCTCCAGGGACTAGGGAAAGAACCTGGAGATGGGCTGGAGGAGGAAGAGTGCACAGGTGCTTCAGGACCGTCTTTAACTTATCCAGCTCTCTACTTGTATGTAATACCAGCTCAGCTTTAGCTGTGCAACACTGGAAAAGAGCCTCCCTCTCTTGAGTCTTCATTTCCTCGTCAGCCTCAAAATAAGACGATGAAAGTGAAAGTATTTTGAAAATACTGAAATTGCTGCATTAAAAAAAACTCATAGGAAATAATTATGACTTGACCTAAATATGACTTGACTCATTAAGTATTGTCACCTTCATCTGGTTTTCCAAGAAACTTCCTTACTAAGAAAGGCAAGTATCACTTGTGACTGCAGCGATCTGTGTTAGGGAACTGATCATGTTAAAGTACGCTGTGACGCCGCCTCACAGGCTGCATTCTCCTGGTAACTCTTGGCTCCTAAAATGACCTCATGCCCTTATCTCTGGTTTCCCTCCCCCCAAGGCCACAGTGGTCCAGGAAAGTTGAAACCTGTGTCTGCAGGACTGGGCCCATAAAAGCAATCTGGCCTGTGATAGGTTACCTCAAAAATGCCCTAGCCCACCCCAAAACTGATAAAAGGACCTTCCTTCCTTTGTTCTTCTCTTCTGCTTCTTCTTCCTCCTCTCTCTCTCTCTGCTCTCCCCCCGCCCCGCCTCCCGGCCTTTGTGCTCTGCCTGACTCTGCAATGAAGATCTCCTGTCGGACCTCTCGGTGCGTGAGTGACCTGACTGGGAAGGGACACCCGAAGGGGGCACGCGAGACCCCTTTCAATCTGCTCCTCCCAGGGCCTTAATTTCACCTTCTCTAAAATAAGGAGTTGCCCACGACAATCTCCAGAGCCCCTGATACTCTGTAAGATTACCTAACGTGAGATATTCTCTGATGCGCTACTTCTCATCGTAAGGTCACAAGAGGCAGACCTGTGAGCTCATTCTCCCGAGTCATTCTGGGCAGCTGAGAAAGTGACTGAATTTCTGAATGTGCAAGCTGAGGCTCTGGCCTCATTCTCATTACCTTCTGTCCTGGACACTGTTAACTCCCATAGGAGAAAACTTCCCAGAGCACCCAGGGGGGAAACGGAAGTGGATGATATTCGAGAGAGAGGGGCATCTGGACCACGTGCTCCCCACCCACATCCTGAGGATAACTGGATAGGGTTCATCAGTTATGGGCTGGTACCGTACGGTACCGTACGGAAGTAAACAGACCTCTGCGATAAAATAAAATGCAAGATTTTTCAAGGCTTCCCACGTGGGGAAAAGTTTGAAAGCCTGGGCTTTAATTTTAGTAAGGGAGCTTCCAAGCCAGTAGAAGACCAAAAGACAGCTGACAAAAGATAAGGAAGTGTGTGTCTGAATTTCAAATTTTAAGGAGCCAGAGGAAGAGGGAAAGGCAGGAACTCATAACTTCCTGAATACCCACCAAGGTAGCAGGAAAAAGCCTTGTCCATCCTATCCAGAATAAGAAGAGCTATCTATGATCCTACTGGATGCCACGCATTTTATATACGCACCACCTTTTAATCTCCAACCTTGTAAAATTACACCCCGCCCACTTTATAGATGAAGAAACAGGCTTTGGAGTCTTGACTCCAGAGCCCAGCTTTCCTCAGTTACCTCCTTTACTAAGCATATGGCTGTAGCCTGCTGATCTGCTGATAATGGTCAGGATGCATCTTATACAAGTCTTTAGGGGGAAAAAAAATCAATTCATATTAATGGGGCCGAGCAGGGCTGGAAGGGCAACCAAGGGTAAAGGAAGCAGATGCTGACTAGTCTCATTCATTTAGAAGCCTGTAAACATACTCAACCCCACATGCCTACTGCTGTCTGAGAGTCCTGGAGATGGAATGGCTGCCGCCAGCTCCCTTGGGAGGCCAGAGAGTGGCTGCCAAGCCTGCTGCATTGACCACTGGGCATCCCAGCCTCCACTCGCTGCCTTGGTGGGGGCGGAGGCAGCCAGGCTGTTGTCTAGAAGCCAAAAAAGAACAAAAGGCTTATTCACTGACTCAGCTCCTCTTCCAAGGGTGTGGAGTGGTTTTGATTTAATCTTTGCCTCCCCTATTTATCAGAAAATAAGAACACCTTTGGGAGCTAGGGCAGACGTTGTACTGGCACAGGGACAGGGAGCTGCCCAGTGGCAGAGTGGTCATCTGAACCTCCTGGCCTAGACGACTAAGACAAAGACCTTGAGAGGAAGCCTGGTGTCTGTCCACCATTCCTAGCCAAGAGAAAGCTCCATCCCATTGGCCTAGCCTCATGGCCTCTGGCAGAATTAAAGGCTTGCAATAATTACCCTGACTGCTCTGGGGTGAGGACAGAGAGAGCTGGGCTGACCAGAGAGAACAGGTGTGGATGGTGCTGCTGCCTCTGACTTCCTCTGCCGGGGTTATGTAACCACCACAGACCTTCAGGCAACTCCAGTTTCTGAGCCACTGCTGATTCCCTAGTCATACACAGTGCTGTGACACCCTGCTGCTCAGTACTAGTTTCCCAAAACAGCTACAGGTTATTATGAACAAACACCAACTGCACGCCCAAACTACAGTCTTAACTCCATCCTCACCACAAACTGTGTCTATTCTGAGTTCTGTTTCAGAGATGGGATGACAGATGCAGAAAGAGTAAATCATTTGTTCAAGCAAATGGCATAGCTGGGACTTGGCTCAGTTCTGCCTTTGGCCACCACCAAACACTATTATCTTTTGAGGAAATATTTAGAGCTAAGAGGAATGTAATATGTAACTGTCGGCCCCTATTTGACCAGTGAGGAAACTGAGGCCCAGAGAAGGTACATAACTTGTCCAGTATTACATTCAGAATTGGTGGCATAGCCGTGGATTTAGCTCAGTGGCTCCGCCACCTGCCTCACAAGCACAAGGGTCCGAGTTCGACCCCCGGTACCAAAAAATAAAAGAATGCAAACAACTGGCAGCACTTCCAGAACTAGAGTTTGCTTCTTATAAATCCACACCACCACTTGGGGGAAACTTTCTATTTTCCCTAGTATGCTTTGCAATTCAAAACGTTTATATGAGGCTTCTGGACCTTGATGGACTTTTTGGAGATAAGTGAAAATCTTTTGTTTTGGGTTTTTTTGGTGGGGGGAGTGGGGATCGAACTCGGGTCCTTGTGCTTTCGGGGCAGGTAGCAGAACCATTCACTGGGCTAAATCCCCAGCCCAAAATCTTTTATTTTTGAGACAGGTTCTTACTAAGTTTTCCAAGCTGCACTCAAACTTGAAATTCTGCCTCAGCCTCCCTCAGCACTAGGATTAAAGGCTTGCACCACTGTGCCCAGCTATTGATGATGATTTAGGCATATTTCATTGGCTATGTTGGCTTGGGTGTGATACTTAACTTCTAGGCCTCATCTTCTCATTGTAAAAGACTATAATAGAGCTTTTTGGGATGATAATGAGGTTTAGGTGAGATCATCACAGGAGAGCAGAAAGTAGGGCCTTTAACATGAATTAAATGTTGGCTGATACTGTGATTATCATTTGATTGGTATCCAACTGCATACCTGTACTACTTAATGGTTTCTCGGGTGGGTGGGTGTGGAGGGGGAATATATTCCCATTTAACAGACAGGATACCAAGGTGAACCTACACTCAAACTCGCACCTCTTACCAGGACACTCTGTGCTCTGACTGTGAGGACTGATGGGAACTGAGATCTCAGACCTTCTCTCTAGCCCACATGTGGTTTCCTGTTGTACACTCTGTTCTCAAAGCACATTTACTAAAGGGGTGGCACAGGAGTTAGTAAAAGGGAGTCTGGCGACTTGGTGTCTTTCTCTGCGTTGATAAGAAAGTAAATTCAGGCCATAGGATAGTCCCACAACAGCCTAGAAGAGCAAATCCAGGGAAGGGATGGCTTCCTCATTGGGCACCAGCACTGAGCTTGAAAGGGAGAATATTTGGCCAGTTCGAGCACCTGGCTGGCCTGAAAACTGTCACAAGATTGGAGGAGAGCCAAATGCTGTCCAATGGCTAAGGAAGGAGGAGATATTTTAAGGGCTAAACTCAACAAACACTGTTTGGCTCTGACTATGAATTGTGGGTGGAGGGAGCCCTACAACATTTCCTCTTAACTCTGGTTTCCCCTGGACCTGCCATGTCAGCCATCCCACTGTGGGCCACAAGCTCAGTCTGAAAGTCGGGATTCCTTCTCAGGTCCACATTTCCCCTCTGGACCTCTGCTTCCTGAATCACAAAAATCAGAGAAGGAATGGGCATGGAGAACACTAGTCCAGTACCTACATTTTATAGAAAAGAAAAACTATTGTTTACTATTTACTATGTGCCACAAGCCATGAGCTAAGTAGTCGTGTGCCCTAACCCCATAGCCATGCTGTAGAGTAGGAAACAGAAGCAGTTTGCCCTGTGCTGGGGATGTAGCTCAGTGGCACCGCACCTGCCTGACAAGTGCAAGGTCCTGGGTTCGATCCCCAGTACCCTTCCCCTAAAAAAAGAAGCAGACCCAGAGTCTCACAGACCCTTAGTGGCAGGGTAGGACTTCTCTCCACCAAATATTAGATGTATAACCTCGGGCTTGGTTACCCTCTCGGCTCCATTTCTGCATCTGCACACTGGGGTGATAACAGCATCTCCCTCATAAGAGTGACTGTGACAGGTAGGTTAGAACATGAGAAATGTCTGAAGCAGTGTCTGATGTAAGGTAAATGTTGGCAGCTGCTGTGATTACGACCCAATGCTTCCTTTTTCTCAAATGCAAAAACAGGAGTTTGACTGCAGCACCTCTATAGACACCCTACGGCAGTGACCGCAAACCTTTTAAAAAGGGCTTTCAATAATTAAAAAAAAAAAAAAAACAGCCTGCTGTGGCACACGCCATAGGTCCACCACTGCCCTAGGTTTATATAATGCTGGGTGAACCATGGGGGCTATGCGCTCAGAAATGGCTCTCACCACTGAAAAATACAGACCACTGTGTCACTTTCATTACAGGAAACCTCAGACCAGAGGAGAAACATCATAGACACTCAGGGCTGGAAGTGAAATCTTCTAATTTGCCCTAGGAGTGGTAAATAATTTTCTAGAGACAGCCAGTGCTGTAAAAAGTGACTGTGACTCTTATCACCATACATCACTTTTTGAGCCCTATTTATTTTGCAGTACCAGAGATCAAACTCAGGACCTTGTGCTTGCTAGGCAGGCACAGTGCCACTGAGCTAAATCCCTGGCCCCATACTTTTTTATTTTTGAGACAAGGTCTCACGAAGTTGTAGGTTGGCCTTGAACTTGTAACGCCCCTGGCTCCTGCCTCAGTATCCCAAGCAGGTGGGATTACACGCCCAGCATACCTGGCATCCATCACTGATTTTGAAAGGCTTTCCCACATGGCACCCTTCCTTCAGCGTATGTATTCCTCCTCTTGCTATCCAAGACACAGGTCACATTCCTGTGTTTCCTCGATGGCCACTTTTACTTACTCATGTAAGGAGTAGCAAACTCTCTCTCCAACTCACCTTTTTCTTCCTGTCCTAGGAGAGATCCCAGTGTTTCTGGCTGAGGAAATTTATGTCCCAAATTCAAAACCGGTGGCTGGAGCCAGGGATTTAGCTCAGTGCTAACGCCTCAGTGGTTCCGGTCAAAGCGTGGAGGGTCCACCTTAGAATACTCCCCCACACTGAAACCAAACCCTGCCCCAAGGCAAGCCCGGGTTCAAGAGGGCTGCACCAAAGCTGGGATGTGTTCCTGCCTCTCAAGCACAAGGTCCCAAGTTCATCCCCGGTTAAAAAAAAATAATAATTATAACGCACAGAAGGAACTCAGGCTCCAGGTCCCTGCATTGAGTATTCAGTCTGATTTCTGCAGTGCCGCTCACTTCCATGCCGGGCATTTTGGATAAGACAGCACTGAATTTAGTATAGACAGAGGTGGATTTTAATCCAACTTCTGTCTCTCCCAAGTAGCGTGACACTGGACAAGTCATCTCTCTGACAAAGGCTTCCTTATCATTAAAATGAAGAACAGGAACCCCTACCTCATAAAGCTTTTGGGTGAGGACTTAAGGCACGAAAGGAAAAGGTTTGGCCAAGGTCACTTGCTAAAGACTTGAACCAAGTCTCTACATCTTAAGCTGGTTTTCCCTCAAGATCTTCCTTCTGGGTAAGAAAGCCACGGATTTGACTTGACTTTGTGCTCCTTCATCCCTTCCTCCTCCCAAGAAAGCCTAGAAGAGAAGCTACTGACCTCTTGTAGGTGTAGCCCAAGATGATGCCAGCTCCAATGGCGATGATGATCACCATCATGGTAATACCCAGCACATATCCTGCCAAGGACAGGACACAAGGTCCCATTAGCCACGCCCCCCAAACAATGAGCAAATGACATCTCTTGATGAATTCCAACGAGGGCATTGTTGAGGCTGCCATACCCAGAGTTCCCAGGTCCTTTTTCTCCTTGGAGTTCATCTGCACCCGCTGGCTGATCCCAATCACTGGCTGCACAGCCACAGCCTCACTCCGGGCGGGCAGGGTGCTGGCAGGAGCAAACACCTGCACCTCATCATCACCTGGCACTTCAGACGTCTCCTTAGGCTGTGTTGTGAAGGCAGGGGGGGCCTGGGAAGTGGTCTCTAGAGGTGAAGTGGGAAACAGCTTTCATCACAGACTGCCCTGAATGAACTCCACAGCTGAACGCAGACCAAGTGTTTGGGGAGGTCCAAGTGTAGAGGGTCCACCTCAGAATGCTCCCCCACACTGAAACCGAACCCCGCCCCAAGGCAAGCTCGTCCGAGAGAGCTGCCCCACAGGTGTGATGTGATGCGAGGCAAATGTGAGGGCAACGTCGTCGCAGGCAAGGGCCTCTCTCCTGCCTCCCCCATCTCCGTCTCTTCAAACACTTGCTATCTTCCAAGACCCAGCTCGGTTGCCCTCTTCTTCGGGAGTCCCTCCACCTCCACGCCAGTCAACAATCCATGACTCAGTCGAGCAGCCCACATTTATTTGCACCCTATGCACAAATCTCTGCGTTAAACCCTGATTATCTCATTTAATTCTACAGAACTAACTTCGGGAGCGGTAACAATAATGCTTTCTGGAGTCTAACAAACCAAGATTCAAATCTGCACCCTGCCTTTGCCTTTGATAAACTGCTGAACTTCTCTGCGTTTCAGATCCTTCAAACAGCTTCTGACCCGGGGGGTTGTGGGCGCCATGTCTAGCACACACCAGACGCTCCACAATCGGTCAACAAACGCTGACGCTGACGCATCAACTGCCACTCCTTGCGGCTCGCGCTCGGCTGAAGCACCCAGCTCGCCTCCCACGGTTGTTTACAAGCCCTCAAGGAGAATGAGCTCATTCGGAGCGGCGGCCGCAACCAATGGGCTTTAGACCCCGCAGCCTGGAGACAGCCCTGACCAATCAGATGGGGCGGGCCGGGCCGGCCCGCCCCGGGCGGCCGCACGTGCGCGGAGGGTGTCCTCTCGGTTTTCCAGTCAGACCCGGGCCTAGGGGTCCCGGGGTCCTGGACTGGTACCTGGGCAGCGAGCGTCCCGACAAGGCACTTTCTCAGGGGTGCCAGCCTCGCCGCTGACGTAGCACCAGGGCCCGCGTGGGTCGCGGTCCGGATTCCGACAGTAGTTGTGGTCGCCTGAGAGGGGAAGGAAGGCTGTAAGTTGGGGCTGCGACCGCCGCCGCCCGCCCACCCCGGCGAACACTCACCGAGCTCGCGAGGAGACGGGCAGCGAGCGTCCCGACAAGGCACTTTCTCAGGGGTGCCAGCCTCGCCGCTGACGTAGCACCAGGGCCCGCGTGGGTCGCGGTCCGGATTCCGACAGTAGTTGTGGTCGCCTGAGAGGGGAAGGAAGGCTGTAAGTTGGGGCTGCGACCGCCGCCGCCCGCCCACCCCGGCGAACACTCACCGAGCTCGCGAGGAGACAGGAGACGAGTCCCAGAAGCAGCCTGTGAGGAAGAGGGGCGCCCCCCACCCCCGGGACCATGAGTGGGGCGACCCACGGAAGGCGCTGAGCGGGAGGGGGCCCCTTGTTGGCCGGGGACCCAGGCCCTCTGCTCCGTTTGGTGGACAGCCTTGCCTGCCCCGGTGGGCTGTAGCGAGCTCCCGAAAAGCCCCTGGCCCTCAGCGCTCGGTATTTGATGCTGCTGCGTTGTATTTTGTTTTTGGCAAGCCAGAAAGCGCTGCAGAGGTGCAAGGAATTGTTACTCTTGAACTTGTGGCCACTGTGCACGAAGAGGAGACCTGACGTAGGGTCCCTCTCTGGAGATGGTAGGAGTGGGCAGCCAGACCTGAAAGTCACCCGTGTCGAAATACCCGCGTTACATAAGCTCTGGTGTTCTCTCCTCCACGGACACGGCCGCCTTCGGCCAATTTAACAGGCAACGCTCCCTTGGGAGAATTTTACGGAAGCTTGAGTCGGGAAAAGAGCCGAGAAAGCTTCACACGGTGGGAACTGCCTCATCGCTGCTTGGCTATGATTCCAAAGACTGGGAAGAAGGGCCTGTGCTCCGGCCACCCCGTGCGAAGGGCATAAAAAAACAGGATTTATGGGGTAGTGGAGATGAATTCTCAACCCCATAACTCGTGAGCAAGGAAGGGGAAAGAGAAAGTGGCTACTTGTCTTTGTTCTTAATGGCAAAGATGGAGCTCCAAGCCCCTGGCAAGGAAGGGGGTTGGTCCTTTCCCTGGACGACAAAAAAACAGCCCAGGGCTTCATTTCCTGCCACCCTGGTCATGTTTAGGAGATAGCGGGCTTTACCCACTCAGCTTAAATGGCTGCAGAAAGAAAAGATTGTAATCTCACCTCCAGATCCATAGGCTTCTGCTAGGAGCATGTTGCTGAGAAGGAATGTTTGTATCCAGACCAACAGCATCCTCTCCTCCTTCCTGCAGGTGACTGAATAGCCAGTGTCCACCTGGGGTCCCCTTGGGCTTTGCCGTCCAGCGTCAGCTCTGCAGCCAGATCTACCCTTGTTACGCTTTTCTGGTAAACAGCCTCTCTTCAGAACTGGGAGCTTCCCAGCTAGCTTGCTGCAGCGGGAGGTGTTTTTCAGCTGAAAGGCGCCCCCTGGGTCCTAAGCGTCCTATGCCATGCAAGATCACTAATCCTAGGGCCAAGAGAGGAACTCAGCCAAGTGAAGAAAGACAGAGTGGTTCAGGTTGTGCTTAGCTATGGATCGGTTTGAGACCTGCACAGCTACATCCCCAAGGCTTTTCATCACTTCTGTTTGCATTTATGTGAGTACAGAAAGAATAATTCTGTCAAGAGGCTTCATGGGGTCAGGGCATTATAAGCACAAAAGCTAAGAACATTTTAGGGAGGGGACGCTAGTTATAACCAAGAGAAATTCAAGACCACATACAGTGCACAAATAAGAGTATGGAATGGAAGTAACTTTATGCCTACTGATAAAGAAGGGGCTTGTGGTTTATACGTTTATGAACACTGACTCGTGGTGGGGTGGTACTGGGGATCAAACCCAGGCGTTCCCTACCACTGAACTACATCTCCAGCCCCGCCTTTTTTTGTTTTTAGTTTTTATTTTCTTACTTTGAGACACTGCTTCATGAAATTGCCCAGGCAAGACTCAAATTTTGATCCTCTTGCTCAGCCTCTCTTGGTGCTGAGATTACAGGCATGTGCCACCACATTTGGCTGCTTTTAAAAATTTAAACAGTGCAACTTTTTCAGGATCAAATCAATCACATTCTTTTGCTTACATTTGGACTGTCCATATATAGTAGAAAGTAGTATCTTTATTTGAAAATACAAGCTGGATATGGTGACACTTGGGAGGCTGAGGCAGGAGAATCACTGTGAGTTGGAGGCATAACGAGACCCTGTTTCAAAAAAATAAATATAAGTTACGCAAATATTGAAAACTTTGCTTACCAATATTGTAATAGTCTACTGCTTTTTTCTGAGTTCTGAGTTCATACAAAGGAAGTTAAATGAAATGTTTTGCTTTTTTTTTCCCTCTCACCCTGTGGGAAATCCATTTACATTAATGTATATCTGTCGTTGAACATCACCACATCCGTATGACTTAGGGCCTTTTGGAGTCAGGCAGAAGGGCCCTCTTCCCATTTGGCTGACAGTTGAATTCCCAGGCAGCCTCAGTAAAGCAGAAGATAGAGCATCGTGATTTGCCAAGACTACCTTGTGACTCAGGCAAATCCAAAAATAGAAATGGGAGGGGGAGCAAGGGAAGGGAAAGGGTATGTAAGAAGAATTAAGATGTGCTATGTACACGTACCAACTCCTCACAGTGAGTGTGATCATTATGTATTGCAAATAAGTACTCAGAAAAATTTTTAAAAATTTTAAACTACAAAATAGAATTGGGAAACTGTTTCAGTCCTGCAGGCAGTAATTTAGGGAGAAAAAAAGAACATTACTAAATATGTTTGTTTGCTTTGGGGAGGGTTTCTCACTACAATAAGTTTTAAACACTTTATCAAGGTAGAAAGCTGAGGTCAATCCAACTAATATGAAGTGAATTTGAATTTACAACAACCAGATTTCAGACATGAAAGGACAGAGAGATTTAATTCACTTTTTTTGGGGGGGGTACTGAGGATCAAACTTGTGTCCTTGGGCCTGCAAGGCAGGTGGCAGAACCACTGAGCTAAATCCCTAGCCCCTAATTCACTCTTTTTTGTTTGTTTGTTTGTTTTTTTGAGACAGGGTCTCACTATGTAGTTGAGACTGACCTGGAACTCACTATGTAGCCCAGGCTGGTTTCGAACTCACAGTGATCCTCCTGCCTCAGCCTCCCCGGTGCTGGGATTACAGGCGTGGCCCGCCACGCCTGGTGCCTAATTTAGCTCCGTGGTTCCGCCGCCTGCCTTGCAAGCGCAAAGACCTGAGTTCGATCCCCAGTACCCCCCCAAAAAAAACACTATTAGCTTACAGTGCTTGATTCCTTCAGTCCATTAGATAAGATACATTTGGTTTTTGTTCTCTTTGAGACAAGGTCTAGATGTATAGGTCAAGGCCTTGAACTCACTGCCAAGACCCAGGCTGGCCTCAGGCTTGTGGCAGTCCTTCTGCCTCTACCTTCCGTATTATTTTCCAGTCCATCTCCTTTCTTCTTCATGCAAGTTTTTGATCCTTTATCTCCTAACTTCGTCTGCACAGAGCATTATGCCACGGAGGTACCAAGGTTTGTAAATTTATTCAAACATATACACATACAGATATGCCAAATTTTTAGAATTTAATTATTCGAACAGAGAAGTCTTTAATATTTTTATTAATTTTACAATTTTTTGAGAACCTACTACATGTTAACTGTTGTTCTAGATAGTGGGGCCATATCTGTGAACAACAACAAAAAATACTTGAAATTTCTACCCTCATGGAGCTTATGGCTTGAAAGAGAGAGACCGGTGATAAATATGTCAGAGATCAAGAGTTAATGGGAAAGGGCCCAGGATTTAGCTCAGCGGTTCGGTGGCCTGCCTTGCAAGTGCAAGGACCCGAGTTCAATCCCCAGTACCAAAAAAAAAAAAAAAAAAAAAAAAAAGTTAATGGGGGAAAAAAAAATTAATGGAAGCAGGCCCCAATTTAGCTCAGTGGTACTGCTGCCTGCCTCACAGGCATAAGGTCCCAAGTTTGATCACCAGAACCACAACAAAAAAAAGAGTTAAGGAAAGAGCTGGGGATGTAGTTCAGCAGGGCCACACCAGTCTGGCAAAGGCAAGGTCCTGAGTCAATTGCCAGTACCTGGCAAAAAAAATTTTTTAAAGAGTTAATGGAAAAAAAAAAAAGTTAATGAAATGCCTGGAATGCCAGCACTCCAGAGGCTGAGGCAGAAGGATTGCTACGAGTTCAAGGCCAGGCTGAATTACATAGCAAGACCCTGTCTCAAAAAAAAAAAAAAAGGTGTTAATGGAAAAAATAAAATAGTTAAGGAGAAAGTAACAGGGCAGTTTTTCACTTGTCAAAGTTTATGCTATTTTCAGAAATCCAAAAGCCTGAAAGTGTTCGTTTATTTATTTTATTTATTTATTTTTGTCTTGTTTTGTTTTGTTTTTTGAGACAGGGTCTCACTATGTAGTTCAGGCTGACCTGGAACTCATTATGTAGCCCAGGCTGGTCTTGAACTACCAGCGATCCTCCTGCCTCAGCCTCTGTGCTGGGATTTCAGGCGTGCGCCACCACGCCCGGCCTGAAAGTGATCTTTGCACAAGAACTTTCCTTGTGAACTTATGCTTACTTTTACATTATTGCAAGAGATAGTATGCTGTGCATTTTGTTTCATTACATAAAGTAGATAGGCTTTAGGGCCAGGAGTAGAGCTCATAGTATGTGCTGAACATATCCAGGACCTTGGGTTCAATCCTCAGCAGAAAGACAAAAATAAAAAGTGGGGGAAAAACCCTAGATAGATACATAACTAAAGCTTGAGAAAATGATAGTTTTTCATTTCAGAATAGTAACAGTTCTTTAAGGATGATCCCTAAGTACTAATCTGTTCCCTTTGTGTGCAGTGACTGCTTATTTATGTCTGATGAAATGTACCTCCTTAACTGTGAATGGATATTTCTGCTGGATTATGTTTTTCTCTCTGGTTATGATAAACAGGCTAGCACTTGTACCATTTTTAGATTATCTGTTGTGTCCATGCAGTATTTCTACCTCAGAAGCTCAAGGCTTCCTTATCTTTCGTTAAAATCTAAATTTTTGTTTTAAAAACTGCTGTTTTCCCTGACTTTATTACACTTTGATATAAAGCAAAATTATATTTTATAATGCTAGA